CTTAGAGTTGGTTTGGTGCATTATAATGCAAGGGGGTTAGACGCAATTTTGAAATCACAAGGGGTAAATGCGCCAAATTTATATATCACAAGGGGGTTTGGTGCATTAAACCCCAAGCTTTGAATATATGGTTTTATCATATTCATCCGTGTACACTATATTCTTGAACCAATGTTAAAAATCACATTTCCCTATATATGACCCAAGAGTATGTTGCCACAGAATTTTTGTGTTAAAAAGCTTACTGAACCTGTCAAAGTTTGGGGCAATGAAAGCAAGCATATTCTTTCTGTTGCAAAGACAAAAGCTTTGAGCTCAAAAAGGAAATGCTTGCTGAATCTCTTGTGCATTGAATATGGAGGCTCATCATTCTTGTTCTGTGCTCATCCTGGTTTTTTAATGCAGATTCACAGGATAGTCAATCTATGCAAGGACTTGCGGAGAGCAACAAAACTAATGTAAATGAAACAGAAGATATGACTCATGCCCACCTTGAAAATGGTTGTGAAAATGGTAATGGTTTCTCCAATTCCTCTAGTAAATGGTTGGGGCCAGGGCCTGTGGATAATGAGGATGTTGGTAGGTTTCTGTACTTGGAAGGTATAGAATATATTATGTGGTGCACCTATGATGTTCACTTCTATGCATCATTTGCCCTTCTTGCATTGTTCCCAAAAATCGAACTCAGTATACAGCGTGAGTTTGCGAGAGCTGTCCTATGTGAAGATGGAAGAAAAGTTCGGTTCTTAGCAGAGGGAAATAGTGGAATTCGAAAGGCCAAAGGAGCTGTGCCGCATGATCTTGGAACCCATGACCCGTGGCATGAAATGAATGCATACAACATACATGATACAAGTAAATGGAAGGATCTGAATCCAAAGTTTGTGCTTCAGGTGTATAGAGACTTTGCTGCAACAGGAGACTATTCTTTTGCAACTGATGTTTGGCCTTCTGTATGTGCTGCAATTGAATACATGGATCAATTTGATCGGGATAATGATGGCCTTATAGAAAATGATGGGTTTCCAGATCAAACATATGATGCTTGGACGGTTCATGGAATAAGTGCTTACTGCGGTTGCTTATGGCTTGCTGCACTTCAAGCTGCTGCGTCAATGGCCTTGCAACTTGGTGACATAGCTTTTGCAGAAAAGTGCAAAGGCAAATTTGTAGAAGCTAAGTCAGCCTTTGAAACTAAGCTGTGGAATGGCTCTTATTTCAACTATGACAGTGGGTCAAGCAGTAATAGTAAGTCAATCCAAGCTGATCAACTAGCAGGACAGTGGTATATGGCATCTTCAGGTTTGCCTGATCTTTTTGACTATGCAAAAATCCAATGCACCCTCCAAAAAATATATGACTATAATGTCATGAAAGTTCAAGGAGGGAGGATGGGTGCAGTAAACGGAATGCACCCTAATGGCAAGGTGGATGAGACTTGCATGCAATCCCGTGAAATTTGGACTGGAGTCACCTATGGTGTTGCTGCCACCATGATTCTTGCTGGGATGGAGGATCAGGCCTTCAAAACTGCTGAAGGTATATTTATTGCAGGCTGGTCTGAGGAGGGCTTTGGGTAAGTTTTTAACTTTTTTATTTAATTCGATCTTCAGTTTTTGTTTTTATTTTCCCCCTTCACATGTCTTCTGCTAAGCATAATGTTGAAGCACCTTGCTGATAATACTGAAGTTCTTATTCAAATTGGCTTTATATAGCTGGTTTGGAGAACTAATGAAGTCTTCGTTTTTAACAACCACTAAGATACATAGAGATATTTTATATATAGCAAGCTACACAATAGACAAAAAAAATCAACCTGGTGTTAGATAAGGCTGTTATTGATCTCCTTGCATATATATAATTAGCTAAAATGCTTGTCCCAGTTTTCCAGACAAGGTAAAAGGACAGGCTTATATCATTGATACTATATACTCCATATCAAATAATGAAATTATGACTTGTCCCAGACAAGGTTAAAGGACGGACTTGTTCCCGTTGTCAATCTATTTTCTCATGCAGATACTCGTTTCAAACTCCAGAAGGATGGACTATGGATGGGCACTTCAGATCTTTGGGATACATGAGGCCACTTTCTATTTGGGGCATGCAGTGGGCACTATCGATGCCCAAAGCTATCCTGGAAGGACCTAGGATCAATATGATGGATGGAGTACAAATATCACCTCATGGTTCAAAACCTTCTCGTGATTCTGTTAGAAAAAGAACAAGTAAAGCAAAGTGCTTTGGGAAATCTGTGTTCCATTGTGCTTGCTGACTGCTGAGTCTGACCATTTATTCTTATAAATCACTGTAAAGTTTTGATCCAAGTTTCCCTTTTTTCGTCAAACCTTTCCCATAAAAAGAGAATGCTTTCCCGCCCGGTAAAGAAGCAAACTGCGACAAAAGAAGCAATCTGTCGCATGATGTAATTTTAGTATAGTTCTAACAGAATCTGAGTCTTAATTTCAACCACCCGCAGTTTTCTCTCCCTTGTTTCAATAATGGATTAATGTATACCCATAATCCATACATGATACACCCTTGTTGAGAAAATCCATGCACCATTTCATGACGCTGAAATGTGGCTATATCCTACCATACGGAACAAAATATAATATATCATATTTATGAACTTTGTATATATTTTATTCCTATTATGGGGAATTGCTTTGTTAATCTCCATCACTCCATGCAGTCAAATTGAGTATTTATTTAGGGACAAAGGGAATCTCTTATATCCTTTTTTAAAAGGAAGGAGGAGTCTTATATCCATTTGCTCTTTGCTGCTACGTACTTCTTTTAAGTGATCACAACTTCATTTGCAACTTTGTAAGTATGTTTAAGTATATGTACTTTTGTATATAGTTACCAAAACCAACTAATTAGGAGTTGGCATTCAAAGAATAACAACTATCGTGGAGGGTAGGAAATTGTGATGTGATATTTTGTTGTCTTGTTTATAGTTTCTTAGTTTCTAACGGGTTAAATACAAAGAGTAAAAAGTAAAAGAGTGCCCTTTTTACTCAACAAGAAGTATAAATAGTGCTTTTTCAAACAACATCAGGTTTGAAAAACCATTGTCTTATTTCCTGACTTCGTGTGACTAACTTATTAGTGTTTCGCCAATTAGTCAAATAATGTCAAGTTTCCAAGACCTTCATATGATAATATGAGAATGAAATGATATCAAGTGTGGAATGTGATACACTAGGTCCATTCCCACTTGCCAATATTGTTAGCAATCTTATACTAGTAGTTTATTATGTATGCTACTCGTTGTGCAATGTCACTCATTGGATCCTTAACCTTCTAGGGTTGTTCAAGTGATTTGAACCAAAAAGTTCTCTAAGTTCACTAGTTCGAATCCCTTGAAAAGCAATGGGTGTTTAACTTCAGGGCAAGCACAATCATTCATACCAAATATGGTACAGACACCCCGTGGTGGCAGACATCCTTTGTTCAAACATGTTCAGTTGAACATTCAAAATTTTGAGAATATAATGTTAAAGTACATATAGAATTGATGTAATAATTTATGTGTTGTATTTTTATATAATACTTTTTCCGCTCTTTTAGTTGCAAATAGTCAACTTTGCACATTTACCAACGCACACCTTTGATCGTCAATATATCTTATTCTCTATAAGTAAAAAAATCAGTTTTTGAAAATTTGTTATGAGATGAATTGAACGGTAATTTAAAAATAAAATAATTCTAATAAATTGATAAATAAAATGTAGTCAAAGTAGAAAAATGTGAATATTGTAAAATTCAACATGTTGCATTTTTAAAAAACGAAGGTAGTATATCTTATCTTTAATCCTATTTGTTAATTTGTTGTTGAAAATTACATACCTTCAATTGTTGGATCAAACTATACTATTATGCAATATCTTAACAATGAAGTAATTTTGAACCCCATATGCAAGATCCCACACTGCACTCGCATCATAAAAAATGAACATTGAAACCTTAAAAAATTAAAGGGTTGCAGAAACCCAAGTTGGTTAACCGCCTAAAGAATGTAGGGATGGATCTTTTAAACTAATAGTCATGAGATCTCTACTCTATTGTAACTCTAATTAATATAAAATTAAATAAATAACATGGTAAACAAAATGCAACATCTTAAAAGGGAAATAACATGGTAAGCAAAATGTAGCATCTAAAACCCCTATTCTCAACAAATGACCACAACCAACTTCCCACTCATTCATAAACAAGTAACATGGTAAACAAATGCAACATCTTTGGCAATACTGTATTTCGAACATTTATGTTTATCAAACCAACTTGAAACGAATCTAGTCATTTGCCACCAATTACTTTAAAAGGAAAATCATGATCCCGGGGTGAAACGGCCATTTTGAAGATAATTGCGGCATACCTTGTCTTGAACATTTGAACATTAGGATGAAAGTAATCATTTTTTCTCAATCCAAGATTAACTTCCAAATTTTTTAAAAATTTGGGACATTATCGGAATATGTAGATTATATGTCAAATTAGTTTCACTTTCAACAATTACTTGATTCAATTCTTCATTTACTAATGGCGAATCATTTGAATTAACATCAGAACTACTCCCGTACTCCGAATTTCTTTAAATGTGGTACATTATCGAAATATCTTTTCATCCTAAATCGTAAAATATTGGGGAAACAACATTCACAAATACACAAATTTAATAATGAGAAAGATTCTCTAAGTAGGACTAAAACATGGATAAAGTTCATCATAAATAGGACCATCACTGTTTTATTCTCAAAATAGGACTCATTCAAATAAATTATTTAACCATTTAATCTAAACATTCAAATAAATGAATTATGCAGTAAACAATAAAACATGGGAAAACAATAAAGTAAAAAATGAATTTTGCAATGTTTATAAAAACAAAAAAAGGAGTTCGAGGGAATTGAACCATGTGACCGCAATAGGATAGGGCTTCAATCACATTAGTATGAGCCTAATGAGATCTCCATGTTTTTAATCAGGACCAAGGAAATATTTTCTTCATTTTAGTATAATTTCTTTCTCAAACCAAAAATACAAATATACATGCGGTAAAAAATAATTTTCGGACCTACCATGGCATAAAGACGACAACGCAATTACGCATATGCAATGGGGCCAGAAGGTAATCAGCCAAATCTTATTTACAGTTACATATATGATATATCTGGTAAACAATATCTGAGTACATTCTTATGACTCCAGCAATGATATCTTGGGTAAAACCACGTTCCCAATAAGATTTTGTGTCCTAGAACTAGCAATACGAGGGTCAATGACAATGCTGCATGAAATTGGTTCCTCACTTCCTAGATGAACACCATAGTATGAGAGGTGATCTGAAATACTGTTCCCCGTCACTGACCTGAAAGTTCATTCCTTCAATATAAGCTGTATGAGATAATTATTACTTCTGGTTAAGAAAAGTATTACCTGCTGCAAGTTGGGTCTTCCCCGGAACCATCACAAACCTTCTCTGATGCAAAAACTAAACTTCCAAAACCAAAATTATAAAGCCAAACCTACAACATCACCAATATCAAGGCTATAATTTTTTTTAAAACTATGGTGCTAAGTAGAAACGACATGTTGCAAAAGAAAATGAGTAGAAGATTAAAAGAAGGGCAAACCAAGGTATTACCTCTAAAGGGAAATGATGGTACGTCTTTGAAGGAAACAGACTAAAATATGGGGGCAAATGAGGCACAATATCATGACCATGTGTGACACGGATAGTGTTTGGCACACGCTGGCTATAACCGGATGCAAATGCTGCATTGCCAATTCTAGGCTGTCCAAATGTCATAACTTGAATATCTTCAGCACCAAAATTGACCTAAATAATAGTACAATGTTAATTATCATGAAACCAACACCTTGATATACATGCCACTGGATAATTGCATAAGGTGAAAAGAAACACTAACTAATAGAGTTAAAGGAAAGACAAGATACATGGATAAATACTCATTATTATTTTTCAAATGATTGGAGACTTGGTAATATTACAGTGAGATCCAGCGCAAAGAAGGATGCCAATGCACCTCCCATTGAATGTCCTGTCACCATAATCTGATAATCTTTGTAGAATGTTTTGGCTTCTTTAACAGCATTTAACACCCCAGTACGAATTTTGGAATCATTATAACAATTATAAAATCCATGATGCACCTGGAAGTCGGAAGCAAGGATGATATATGTGTATATACAAGCATATTTATGTATGCAAATATGTGTGATCATAAAAGAGTTTAAAGGGCCAGACAATTTGGGATAGCAGTCACCATTGCATCATCCATTCCTGGATAATTTAAATCAAGCTGCTTCCAGTATAGATCTTCAACCCAGTTTTGTATGCTAATAAAATGAAACAACCGGAACTAGTAAGACATTAATGTGTAGGAAGGACAATGTTTTGCATACGACTGGGAAAACCTGCTTGTACTGCCTCTAAATGCAACAACAATAGCATTAATATTAGGATCCACTCCAACAAATGCCTGCATGAGATATAAACTATTATAGTTGTAGCTATAGATGGAAATGGATAGGAGTGATAAAGCTACAGTGAAATCAGACTAGACCTGCAGGCAGTAATGGACATCCACAATCAGCTCAATCATATCAAATCCCTGTTTCAGTAAAACCAATGCTATTAGATGAAACTCTTGTTGATAATGATTGATGAAAACGTGTCATATTAACTTGAAAGTTTCCGCCCATAAGCTTTGTATAATCATAATCAGAATATGATACCCTGGTTAAACCATCACAAATGGAGCAAGTCCAAGTAAAGAGTTCAATTGTATTTGTTATATAGACCTGCAAATGAAGCAATTGTGTGTGTTAACTTGATTGGTCCCGGACCATAAAATAAAATAAGTAAAGCATATCAAAAAACAGAGCCGTGCGATTGTATGAAAACTTACTGCTGCAGCATATTCCACCAAGATCATGGCGAGGGTGTGGTTATAAACTGCCAAATCAGATTTGAACCTCGCACTGATTTTAAATTCTGCAGCCAAAAGTACCCACAGAAATAACTTATAAATGCGTTTTTACAATCATACTACGAAAAAAAGGAAAAGAAGATACAATGCTCATCAAATCCAATAGAGAAATGAAAACTATGATTATGGCGCAGCAAAGTACGGAATGCATAGGCTTACCTCTTCCGGGTGAGAGCAGAAATATAGATACGAAAATAAACGTCTTTAACCAAATTCTCCTTTCCATTTGCACTGTAAAAATTAAACGAAAGAAAAGAATGTTATGGTTCCTCCTTTGTCCGTTCTTATTGCGATGAAACTGTGTGACTTTAACGTTTGACAAGATATGATTTTTCAGTTTTTTCCCATTAATATACAGAGGAGTATTTAATTAGTTATCAGTCGAAATCACAAAAAAGATTGACAATTTAGATTTAATAGAGACGGCAAAATAGTGTTCAAAAGCTTAACAATCACAAAAGAGCTGAAATGAACGGAAGTCCTACTAAAAGTTTAAAAGCTTAACAAGTAACAATCACAAGTACCTGAAACAGACGCAGTGTTCAACGCAGGCACTTCGACCTGAAAATCACTTCTGGAGTTCAGTATTCCCTCGATGAACGAATGATTAGAAAAAGATAACAGCAAAAACCGGACGCCATCGAGTAGGCGGAGTACACGAAAATGCGAAGAAATGATATGAAAAGGGCCGATTGGATGGGAAAACTAACCGGGTCGTAGCTTCTCCTAAACAAGAAAAATAATCGGAGTCGGTCGGTAGATTTTTTCCCCCGTAGACGACGGTTTTTCCTGGGGGGTCGAGTTTCGGATTATGTTCGTCAGAGGAGGTCAATGTTATCTGAGCTCAACAGATTATCTTATTTTCTTGTTAATTAAGGTTAAATAAATAAATGCATCTTTTGGCTTTTACCTAAAAAGGTTATACTAGTACGTGTAGGTGTGTTTGGAAATAGTGAACAATGAACATATATATAGGGCCTAAAGTGTGGACTATTTTAAGCTTTAATAAATATAAATATAATATTTATATTTATTTGCTATCAAGTTTGGTTTTCAAATCCTCCTATTTTGCGGGCCTTGAGCCACAATTTGATTAATACCAATTAAGCTTATTTGCTGCAAATATATATATATATATATATATAGAGGGCAGTTCACATCAGGAGTTCCTGATGAGAAGCCCCGTGCAGACAAGACCATCAGAGGGTCTTTCCGATGGAATTTTTTGATGAAATTTTTTTAGCATGATCTTCATCAAGTCTAGTTTGTCCATACCAAATTTCAGCTCAAAATTCGATCGGGAAGGCAGTCAAATAAATCCTGGAAAACTATGGCTCATTCTGCGCACATATAAAGTGTAGTATATTTCTCGGATTTATTTGACTGCCTTCCCGATCGAATTTTGAGCTGAAATTTGGTATGGACAAACTAGACTTGATAAGGAACATGCTCAAAAAATTTCATCAAAAAATTCCACCGGGAAGACCCTCTGATGGGCTTGTCCGCACAGGGCTTCTCTTCAGGAGCTTCTGATAGGAACGGGACTCTCTCTCTCTCTATATGTGTGTGTGTGTGTGTGTGTGTGTATAGAGGAATGATCCTGTCCAGCCGGAGGGACAGGATCTTCCGTCCGGCCGCCGCCATTTGGGACAGTTCTCGGTGGAGTTTTTTGATGAAATTTTTATGGAATGTTCCTCATCAAGTCTAGTTTATCCAAAAAAAAAAATCAGCTAAAAATTCGATCGGGAAGGCAGTCAAATAATTTTTTGAAGATAACTGCTCCAACTTAAACATATAAAACGCAGTTATATTTCAAAAAATTATTTGACTGCCTTCCCGATCAAATTTTTAGCTGAAATGTTTTGTGGATAAACTAGACTTGATGAGGAACATTCCATAAAAAATTTCATATTACTTGTACTAGATGTTCATAATCATATTAAAAATCATAGTTTAGCATTAAAGTCCACCACACAAAAAAAATAGTGTTAAAATGAGAGATAAAAAAAATACTCTTACGTCAACCTTTGTGATTGAATTATATAAACTCTTGTATCTATCTTTTTCTGATAGTTTGTATTTACATTCATATTCTCTAAGAAATTGATTCGAACTTTGGCCCATCTTTAATGATGAAGGGTTTAAGCAAAAATACAATGAATCATCCTCTATAACTTTATTTATATCATCTTAAAAAATATAATGTGTAGTTTCGATATCTTTGATCGTGATTCTCTTGACCTATGTCAAATCATTATCATCATACCTATAGAGATATGACGGTGAGTCTAACAATTTTCGCAAATGTAGTACGTAGTATTGTCTATCATCATGTATTCCCTTCCCTTTTCTTCTTTCGATTGTCTTGCACCGGAAAATATCAATCCCTCATCATCTCCTCCAAGACTGATCTATCGTAGCCAAATCAAATGTTATTCTCAAAGTTGTGTAACATCTTATTGGAACACAAAACTTGCAAAACGATCGATAACCTAGTGTGAACAAACAGGTCTCAAGTATGTATTTCAAACTCCTAGTGAAAGATCAATTGTTGAGAACGGACCGCAAAATTCACTAGAAAAACTCCTTACTTTAACTTAAATTTTTTACATTTTTATCCTTACTTTAACATTTACCTTTTATTATTAACTACTAGTGTTTACACGCGCGTTGCGCAATCGGGTAGATGCCCAATGAAATCGATATATTAACCATTGAAATATTTCGAATGTGATTAAAAAGCATAAGCTTGCATGAAGTTGATGCGTTTTTAATTTCATTCCTTTCTACTTAAAGTTAATTTTAAGAAAACGTAATACCATACTTTACTTTCGAGAGTGGTTATTATTTTTAAGGAAAAAATGAAAAGAAAATCCCCACTATAATGAATTGTTTGGTTAGAGAATTTCAATAGGGAGAAGACACTTGATATTTTTATTACACATATATTTGTTTTTACATCTAATATGGTAGCACATGATTTAGATAATTGAATGAATACTTGTCAACTGAGCACAACAAACTAATTAGTAAAATGAGAATTAATTGAGAATTCCCATCTGGAGCGAGTAATTAAGACTAAAGGGAATTCTAAAGTACCCGAGCAGTTAATTCCATGTTCTTCCATCAAATTACTCACTAAATAATTGATAACTACATCAGAGCAAGTAATATCTAAGGTTTATCTGTTCTTCCATCAAATTACTCCCTAAAGAGCTGGAAAATCCCAGCTCACAGACATTGAGTAGCAATATATGCCGAGGCACGTCCACTATGCCAAGGCTTACTAATCCCCAAGGACCATGACCATCAAATAAACCACAAAATATCATGTCCTCTTTATAAACCATAAAAATGATCGATTTGCAGGTAGAAATTTAATTAAACACCTTCTTAAATTCCACAATAATAAACACTTTAAACAAATAAAAAACGAAACTTAATCTGTGTGTTATTATATCTGAAGTACATGATACCAATTACCAAACATACAGGGAGGTGGGGGTATGCAGACATGCGGAATGCTCTTTAACATCCATCACGAGTTGGATTAGCAAGTATTAGTGAATTTCTAAACAAAATTCACAAGCAAAATTACTGTGAAACACACAGAGTCAGAGATTTGCTTGAGCAGACGATGAATGATGACTTGAGAAGAGGGAATAGATGTAAATGGTAACCAACATGATGAAGTTCAACGGGCAGACTAAATGTCCAAACCTTGTTGCCGGCATAGCTGGTGCAGATGTGGAAGTGAATAAATGAGGACAAGCGGCTCCACAGATGGAGTTTTAATGGAGTGAATTGGAAATGGAAAAACATCGTTTAGCGTATAAGGCTAAAAGAACAATGTACAAGTACTTAAAACCTTCTAATACCACCAACACATTTTTAACACCTAAAATACCCCCACCTCTATTCACTCTTATAAGTTTGTAGAGACATCACTACTTTAATTTTATTTAAAAACAAGATGTGTTAAAGTATTATTGATATAAACTTAAAGATAAAAAACAAACTTTTATGATGAACATATAATCACGGTTATTAGAGTGTAAAATTGCATATAATGATGCTTTGTAAAACTAATTTTACAATTTGTAAAAGGGAAATTATCATTAACCTCCCTTGAGGTTTCATGTATTATCATTTAGGCCCCTGCACTATTGAAAATATGCACTTACCCCCTCTCTATCCTTTAATGAAAGTGTATTAACTCCTAATTACGTTTAGCAAGAGTATGAATTTCGTTTTATAAATTTACTCACTTGTGGATTTAATCTGATTATAAATAAATTTATCTGTATTAAGAATCTTTCCACTAGAACATACTTTTGTCGTGGGAACGCGTACTTTATGATGAAATAATCCTTATTATTGACAAATTTATTAGGTGCATAACTACATCTACATGTGAGTAAAATTATAGGACTAGTAGCAGACACAATCGAAAGGTACAAGCTTAAAACAATAAATCTCTAATACTTTTAGAAGTTTGAAAATATATCCAAGATTGTAGAAATCTTGGTGAAACTTTTGTAACGAGGGAAAGATGCCAAATAATGAGCATGGTTATTTTATACCTAAAACAGATGTTGGTGAAGGACTTTTAGGAGACTATATTGGAAATTTGTATGAGAAATACGTACTTTGGTCATTTTTTTTGTAAGTAATAAACTTTTGTCCTCGACTTTAGAATTCCCGACATTTCACATTTTAAGTATTGTGAAATTGACATTTGTCGTCCTTTTACTTTGATTTTGTCATCAAAAGTGGAGGTCTAAAAATGTTAACAACTGTGTTTGATAATAGTAGTTGTTGCTAGCTCATACTCGGTTGAATCAGCAGATTGATAATAGCGGATTACATTAGCTTTTTAACTAACCGCTTTCATTAGTGGTTTGAAATAAATTGTTAGTAACTAGGTAAAAATTTGCAATTAGCTTTTCAGTCGTAAAATGACCGTTAAAAAATTAATTTAAAAATTTATATATTTAAATTAGTTTTATTTCTTTTTTATTTTTAATTTTAGATCGGGATCGAGACCAGACCGGTGAAAAAAAGGCCTCAGGCCTCACTTTATGGGATCGGGATTGGAGTCCATGTTTTGACCCTGTTCATTAATTTTATTAAAATCATTGAGAACACTTTAAAATGGGCTATATTCCATTTAAAAGTAGAAATATAGGTAGTTAAAAAAATATTGGGAGCGAACCTAGACCAATTAGGGGATTGGAACTGAAGATAAGGCCACGGGCAGCCCTAATTATTTAGCACTAACCAATTTGGGTGTGGAACCCGTCCTAAACTATAATGTTTATACTAATATTTTAATTTACATGTAAACATGTTCATATTTTGTCAAATATTTAAATCTACAAGTTATTATTATTCATATATATAATGATCTCATTTTCAGTGATAACAAAGAGTGTCTAAATTGGGAATTTTCTTGCGTTCAATTTTTAATGGTTAAATCGAGTAGGAAACTTCACTTTTGAGTCGGTTTGGTTCATTTATGTTCATTTGTTTCAATTTTTTTGTCAAATTTAGCATATCTTGATCATTTTCTATTGAGTAAATTTACTCACTTTACAAATTGAAATGCATAAAACGAACTACCTAGAGAGTAAGGTCAGTTTTGGTCATTTTTTTTATTTGGTTCGACTTCCAATAGAAAGGTCTTTAATATGGACAATTTTATTAATTACCCGACCAGATTTGTGGTCGAATAGAATTACAATATTAAAAGCAGACTCATAAAAAAATTATGAAATTATATTCATAATTTTCTCTAAATATAAATTAAGAGTTATTTAACCATCATTAAAGGATAATGCATCAAACCTCAGGGGGGTCAATGATAATTTCCCTTTGTAAAATATTTTTTTTTCATTCTTTATAATTTTATATTTATTCTTTTTTAATCAATGATTTTGTAGTTCTTTTTCCGTTTTCATTCTATGGAGTATTATTTATTGTATCAATCAAACTTTGGTAAAATTCTGAGAGGAGGCGGAGTAAAAAAATCACATTTTTAACCACTATCTTCACTTTTAATGGTATATATCCGTCCTCTTTTCTAAAACAACCATGGAGACTAATAAAAAAGGAAGGTAATAACCCCATTGTTGTGTGGGGAGAGTGGTGCCAACACACGCTTGCAACAATTCATTTCTCTGCTTCCGATTATCTCATAGTACTTGGATTCATCTTCTCAAGAGCTTAGTTGCTGCTGACAGAATGGGGTTAGGGCTATTAGCTTCGCGCCTGATCAGAACCCGAGCAGCAAACCCTAGAGATCAGTACCTTCTCCTCCGTTCTATCGTAACCAAACCTGAACTCCAATCCCCAGAATCATCGGCGGCAGCTGCAGCACCACAGCCGGAACCAGATCCTTTACCTCCACGGACACCGGTCGGAGGCGCGCGGGTCCACTTTCCCAACCCCGAGGACGCCATAGAAGTGTTTGTCGATGGATATCCGGTGAAAATCCCCAAGGGAATGACGGTGTTACAGGCTTGTGAAGTTGCAGGTGTGGACATTCCTAGATTCTGTTACCACAATAGACTTTCAATCGCCGGAAATTGCCGTATGTGTCTTGTTGAAGTTGAGAAATCTCCAAAGCCTGTCGCTTCTTGTGCTATGCCAGCTCTTCCCGGTCAGTATATAGTTTTTTCAATGTTTAGTTTAGATATCTGCATTTGTTGTTATCTTCGCTCTTCTAGTGTTGAAAATACAGGGTTTTGTTTATTTAGGTATGAAAATTAAGACTGACACGCCCGTGGCTAAGAAGGCACGTGAAGGAGTGATGGAGTTTTTGCTGATGAATCATCCATTGGATTGTCCAATTTGTGATCAAGGTGGAGAGTGTGATCTTCAGGATCAGTCCATGGCTTTTGGATCTGATCGTGGCCGTTTCACTGAAATTAAGCGTTCTGTGGTTGATAAGAATCTTGGGCCTTTGGTGAAGACCGTCATGACTCGGTGCATTCAATGCACAAGGTCTTATTTCATCGCCTTTTTCTTCACACCTTGTGTAATACTTCTTTGGTTTCTTAAAGTTTTGTTATGGTCAAAGAGCCGATGTCACTGGTTAGATTACCCTGTCATGATCACTGGAGTTGTTGGACTTTTTTTTATCCTGCCAGTTAATTGTTTAGTCGAGACTTGTTTTTATAGCCATGTCAGTTATTAGTTTTTTTTGTAGTATTTTTCCCATATCTACATCTATCTGTGCTGCTTTTTAAAGGAGCTGCTATAGGTAGTCTATTTCTTGCAATTGCTTTCTAGATAGTGCTTATGATGTTTGATTTTCTACATACTGATGTGGCTAATTGATCAAAATAAAACAGAGTTGTTCAGCCATATAATAGACACATATTATGCTTGATTTAAGTACTTTTCTCGCAACTTGAATTGGCCTGGTAATACTCTTTGCAATATTCTGAAACAAACTTGTCTGCTTAACTGTTTGGACCCACAGATGTGTCAGGTTTGCGACAGAGATCGCTGGAGTCCAGGATCTGGGCATGCTAGGTCGTGGCAGCGGAGAAGAAATTGGGACTTATGTCGAAAAGCTCATGACTAGTGAACTTTCTGGAAATGTTATAGATATTTGTCCTGTTGGAGCCCTTACATCAAAGCCTTTTGCATTTAAAGCCCGAAACTGGGAGTTGAAAGGTACAGAGAGCATTGATGTCACTGATGCAGTGGGATCAAACATCCGAATAGACAGCAGAGGGCCAGAGGTCATGCGTATTCTTCCACGACTGAACGAGGTATTGGATTTATTGTGCTTTATTTTACTTGTATATTATTTTTACATGCCTGTAGCAGTGATGAGGCTCTATTTGGTAAAGGGTTTTAGGATAGCTTTCAGCCTTTGCCACATGATTTAGCTTTTTGAAAATGTAAAAAACTATTCATATTAGCTTAGGTAAAACTTATGTAGGAATCATTTTTTATTAGTTTTTTATTTGACATTGTATACATTTACAGACCAGTTATAATTACTACTACGTATTAAATTGGGCCTACTCATTCCAAAAGCCTCAATGGTATAATTAATCTTAAACTCATATATCACTAGTCACATTGTACGTATACAATATGGGATTCTTAACATGTCTCTCATCCCCAAATGGGCAAGACAGCTTGAGATGGGCCAAAGTGATCCTAAACGGGTCCTAAACTATGGGGTGCCTAATAATTAATAAACAAACACACCACATTTGGCCTAGACTTTGGTACCGTATTCCATTTAGGTCTAACTTACTCCAAAGTCCAAAAGATACTCAAGAGGTATAATTTACCTCATATTTATAATTTTCTATATTACTCACTGATCTGATAATGTAAATAGCTATTTACCACTTATGTAAATAGCTAATGTAAATAAGTAAATAACTAAGTAAATAGTTAAATACCAAACAGAGCTTGAAAGACAGCCTTAAGGAAGGATTATAATTTCAAATGAAAATATGTTTCTAACAATTGGGAACACATAATATTTTGTGCTTTATTTTAATTTTAAAATGTATAATTTTTCAGGACATAAATGAAGAATGGATATCAGATAAGACTCGCTTTTGCTATGATGGTTTGAAGAGGCAGAGGATAAACGACCCCATGATTCGTGGAGCTGATGGACGTTTCAAAGCTGTGAGCTGGCGTGATGCCTTAACTGAAGTTGCAGAGGTTATCCGTCAAGTAAAACCAGAGGAGATTGTCGGAATTGCTGGAAAGCTGTCCGATGCTGAATCAATGATAGCTCTGAAAGATTTCTTAAACAGAATGGGTTCAAATAATGTGTGGTGTGAGGGAAGTGGCCCAAGCCCCAATGCTGATCTACGATCCAGATACATCATGAATAGCACCATAAGTGGTCTTGAGAAGGCCGATTTATTCCTTTTGGTTGGCACCCAGGTAATATAAACTATCTCTTTTCATCAGTCACAGTTATCCTGTCTCATCAGATACCTCGATTTTAATAATCTGTGTACCTGTTTGTCACACGGGGGTACTTAGGCTTTGCGTGTGTTTGTGTTGCAATAGTGGAAAGAGTGGTTGTGTAGTCAATAGTATACATAGTATTATTTATATGAAGGTTTTTTCCTATAATATTACTGAGATGGAAATCATGGACAAAAAATGACACATTGTCGCTACAGCCACTGCGGAAATACTGTCATGGTCACTGCAGTAGTGCAGTGTAAACATTGAACGAAGTCACTAGGGTCACTGTAAAAAATACAACTATGGCAACTATATATTAGAAGTCACACTTTTGTTTACTGTTTCTATCATAGTCATATACTTTTTTTTGCTTTATATAAATTGTGGATATGTTTTTCGTACTGGTCATATTGTATCCTTGTCTAATCACACATTTCAGCCAAGGGTAGAAGCTGCCATGGTAAATGCAAGAATCCGCAAGACAGTTCGTGCAACCAATGCAAAGGTAGGTTACGTTGGCCCACCCACTGATTTCAACTATGACTGTCAGCATCTTGGCACTGGCCCTGAAACTCTTCTTGATCTGGCTGAGGGCCGCCACCCCTTTTTCTCAACAATCTCAAATGCCAAAAACCCAGCAATTATTGTTGGTGCTGGAATCTTTGAGAGGAGTGACAATGATGCTGTTTTCTCCGCAGTGGAGGCCATTGCAAAGAAGGCAGGGAATGTTGTGCGGCCTGATTGGAACGGGTTTAATGTATTGCTCGTCAATGCTGCCCAAGCTGCTGCCCTAGACCTTGGACTTGTACCAGAATCCAGCGAGAGTGTGGGATCCGCTAAGTTTGTGTATCTGATGGGCGCTGATGATGTGAACCTGGACAAGATACCGAGCGATGCCTTTGTGGTCTACCAGGGGCACCATGGGGACCGCGGCGTGTATCGTGCTAATGTCATTTTGCCTGCAGCAGCATTCAGTGAAAAGGAAGGGACTTACGCTAACACTGAGGGGTGTGCACAACAGACCTTGCCTGCAGTCCCAACAGTTGGTGATGCCAGGGAAGATTGGAAGATTATTCGAGCTCTCTCTGAGGTAGCAGGGGCACGTTTGCCCTATGATTCACTTGGGGCCGTGAGATCCCGCATTAGTACTGTAGCTCCAAATCTCTTGAGCTTAGACGAGAGAGAGCCTGCCACATTTTGGCCATCCTTGGAATCGGATTTCACTAACAAACTGGGTAAAACTACTCCATTCAAGCCTGCAATTGACAACTTTTACATGACTGATTCCATCACCAGGGCTTCAAAGATAATGGCACAATGCAGTGCACTTCTATTGCAAAAGTGAGTGCTGGATTATTTGGAGCCTTTTTTATTTATTAAATCAATTGCAGATTGAATTTCCTTTTAATCTTCATTAAGCTATGTGATGTCCTGGGCATGGGCGTAAGTTGTGGAACAATCGGAATACATCTAATAAATAATTTAGATTCTTGTTTCTCTGTAATCTCTGCACAAATGTAAAAGCATTTTCGATGTAACCCTTTGTTGTATTTTTTTGGACTTGATAATTTGTTTTAACATGTTTTGCTCAATTTTTAGAAAAGGGGTAAAGAAACAAGTATACCCTTATATTATGTATGACATATATGCCCCTGTTCTATTTTTTGGAACAATAAACTGATAAAATAGAATTTTTGGTCTAAAATTACACCTCTATTATTTCGTTAGCATTATTAGATGTTAAGATATTTCTCAGACGGCCTTCGGCCCTTCGCCTTCACTATCATAAATTCACTATCATATCAAATAACAAATCCTTTTGAAACGAAGATGGAGGAGCACAAGAGACCTAAATTACTTTGACAGTTTGAGCACATATCTAAATTTAGTAGTATTAAGGTATTTCAGTATTTGTTTATTAAAGATTTTGATTTTACCAGAATGATTAAGTGTAAAATTCGTGTTATTCTTCATCTTCATCTCCCCATTTATCATTCGTTTGTAATGCTAGTCTCTACAACCCACAGTCAAATTTTGATAGTACTAGTGTTAGGAGCAGCCTACTATGCCCTCATTTGGATAGTAGTGGTTAGATCAAAATGCCAATTATTTTCAATGGCAAAACACTGCAAAATGCAGCGTTTAGGGAGCAATCCGCTGAAAAACAAATGAGACCTACAGCAATTCTTTGACAAAAAAGAAAGAATAAGGTCTATTCATTGTACTCATTAATCATTATTCACATATTTTATTATGATGGTATCCATTCTTGATAAAATCACAGCGCGCAAAACATTGTAATGTTTCCATAGCATTTGTTGTTTTTGTTTTTGTCTTGGTGCTTCTGTTTGTATTGTTCTTCCCGTGGTAAGTTTTATCATAGCATACATTGGCTGGTGAGTAGGGGAGTCTTGCCGTCTTAGTGCACCAGTTAAGATGTTATGTTGATTTGTGACAGAGAGGTCACGAATTGAAGTCTTGTGAGTGAGCTCTTGTTAAAATTTCACGGGGAAAGTTTGTCCCTTGTAGTACATCTATGTGGTGGATCCTTCCGGGGATGCCTTGATGTACTAGGCAGCCTTTTTATACTGATCACTTGATCAGTGAAGGTATGATTAGAGATTTACATGACAGAACATTCGACTTTCATCAATCTTTTTGAAGCCATATAAGATTGTATGAACTAGGAATGCTAAAGAAAATCCGAGAAGAGTAACCTTAGACAGGACTTCATTTTCATCTGGTTTTGCGCACAAAGAAGGAACAAGAGTATTTGACAATTTGTTCGTCTCTCCTTGTAGAAAATGGGGGCGGAACCTCTAAACAGCACATGCGATTGTGAGTGTCCAAGGCCATGGGGTTTGCCCAAAACTTTAGTTTTAATGAAACATTTTGAAACAATAGAGTTTCATTCTATTATTATGTAATGGTTCATTGACTTTATTCTAATCATCAACTCCTACATGATGTTGTGATAGATTGATGCGTTAATAATTTTAGGACGAGTAATGATTGAAAATGAGCATGTTAATTTGATAAAACTACGTATTACTTTATCCTCTCGAATGACCTCTTAAAGTAAAATAAATCACATTGTTTACGAGTAATAATGAACAAACATAAAACATAAATTTTATATTGAACTCAATTTGACTTCGAATGTTTTTACATAATTTGCTTATCTGGTATTTTAGTGGTAAACATTCTTAACCCATTTAAGTTATCGTAAAGAAACCATTTAAGTTTTATTACTAACCCAAAAATATTGAAAGTTACAAGCCCTGAACAACTCATAAATTGAACTTAATTTAAGTTGATACGATAAAATAGATCATAATTCTCATCTTGGGTATTGAGTTCTAATTAATGTTAAGATTTCTAATTAGAATTTAGTTTCACGTAATTCTCAAGATATTGGCTTGTTAATATCTTAGCTGTTAGAGACTAATCCATTGAATTGTGAATGATTGAATGAATGTCAGTGTAGCATTCACGTAATTATTAAGGCCAGCTTTATTTTAGGTTGAAATGAAGTTTATGATCTGATTTGTATTCATTAGTACTACATATCAAACATTTGTTTCAATCGCCGCACCTAAAAGTTGTTCGAAATGATTTAAACCTCTTTTTCACATCCAACGCTTTTAAGGAAAAACTGTCAATTTAGTCCTCGCACTTTCGAAAAAATCAATTAGGTCCTCATACTTCTAAAAAAATCAATCAAATCTCTAAACTTTGTAAAAACTTTCAATTGAGTATATTTGCAGGTTACTTGTTATGTCAGCAGGTCACCCGTTGACGTGGCGCACACATGACGGTCCACGTATGTGTCATGTCAGCAATAATTTTGTTGATTGGGCCGCCACATGTGCGCCACGTCAGCAGGCGACCGGCTAACATGACAAGTAACCTGCAAATGGATTTAATTGACTTTTTACGAAGTTTGGGGATTGGATTGATCTTTTTAAAAGTACGAGAATCTAATTGACTTTTCCATGAAAGTATGAGGACCAAATTGACAGTTTTCCCATAATCTAAAGATTAATTTATCGTAAAATCGTAAAAGTTATATTCAAACTTGAAAAACGTTATTTTTTCATAATCAAATAGTTGGAACTAATAGTTGATGCTAATGAATAAAAAATATAGGGAAAGTTCCTAAAATAGGACTAAAACAGGTTGAAAATTCCAAAATAGGACTGTCATGTTTTTTATTCCCAAAATAAGAGTAATTACTGCCAAGTTTGGAAAATACTGTCATGTTTGAAGTCTGGTACTACCAAAACATGACAGTAATTAGTCCTATTTTGGGAATAAAAACATGGCGGTCTTATTTTGGAATTTTCAAATCTTTTTAGTCCTATTTCGGATAATATTCTAAAAAATATATCATACATTTCATTGCCGACCTGGGATTATCATTTTGAACGAGAGCTTTTTTAGGGAGATTATTGAAAAAGAAAATTCAGTATCAAAATTCAAACCCCAAGTTATTTTAGATTACATTTAATGCATGCCTGAGAAAAACTACTACCTCCGTCCCATTAGAAGGTTCTCGTCCACTATTTAAATCATTTTAAATCTTTTACTTTATAGGAGTATATCAATTTTTTATCAAATTTACATTTTCTTTATCAGACTTTGTAGCTGCTTTAATGTAATTTCTGAATATGTAAATTTTATTTACTAAAAATAATCGGAGTGTGAATATAGATTAAGTTGTTTTATCGTCAGTCAAACATCGTAAATCGTCAACGAGAACATTCTAGCGGGACGGAGGGAGTATTTATTGAATAAAGGGAAAAGGGGCAAATAAGCCCTCAAACTAATAAAAAAAGTGCAAATAAGCCCTTTTGTAAGAGGTTCTGTCCGGTCGCCGTCATTTGGAGAGGTTCCAGTAGAGTTTTTTGATGAAATTTTTTGAGTATCTTCTTCATTAAGTCTAGTTTGGCCATATCAAATTTCAGCTAAAAATTCAACCGGGAAGGCACTGAAATGATTTTCCGAAATATACTGTGTTGTTTAACTACGCAGTTATCTTCAAAAATTCATTTGACTGTCTTCCCGGTTGAATTTTTAGCTGAAATTCGATATGAGTAAACTAGACTTAATGAATAAGATGCTCAAAAAAACTCATCAAAAAATTCCACCGGGAACCTCCTCAAATGACGATGGCCGGACGGAAACTCCTACAAAAGGGCTTATGTGCACTTTTTTGGATAGTTCGAATGCTTATTTGCCCCTTTCCCCTTGAATAAATATGATGTAGAAATGACATCCGTTTGGCAACACTATTTTTCGGCTTATCAGGCTTATCGACCAACTTTTTTACCAAACACGTAACTTTTGTTTTCGCGCGCTGAATTGTGTAATAAGCAAAAAATAATGTTTGAGCTACTTTTCTGGCTGTATGAGCTGAAGTTACACCATTTTAGCTATTTTTACATATAATGATATATATTTAAAAAATAATTTTTCTTAAATCAGCAAAAACAGCCAATGCAGCCACTTCAACCAAAACTTCATAAAATTTCAGGAGAATCAGTCAAAACAGCCCATTTTCGTGCTAACCCGCTCTTATTGTGCTTCTCGCACTAAAAATGATTTTTCAGTTTTGAGAGCTCACAAAATCACAAATAATCCAGCTTATTTAAAGGGAGTGTTTGCATTTGATTAAAAAAAGTGCTTTTCAGCTTTTGGCTTAAAAAAGTTAAAAAGAGTGTTTTCAAATGACAGCTTCTGCTTAAATTTAATCACTTAAAAGCTAAAAGCTGGAAGCAGGTGGAAGGGTGCTTTAAACTGCTTTTCACTTTTTCTATTACACAAAAAGTACTTCTTTTACCAAACACTACCAACTTTTACTTTTTCAGAATCACTTTTTCTTCAAACACTACCAACTTTTACTATTAGGGAGTGTTTGCATTTGATTAAAAAAAGTGCTTTTCAGCTTTTGGCTTAAAAAAAGTTAAAAAGAGTGTTTTCAAATGACAGCTTCTGCTTAAATTAATCACTTAAAAGCTAAAAGCTGGAAGCAGGTGGAAGGGTGCTTTAAACTGCTTTTCACTTTTTCTATTACACAAAAAGTACTTCTTTTACCAAACACTACCAACTTTTACTTTTTCAGAATCACTTTTTCTTCAAACAGTACCAACTTTTACTATTAATCACTTTTCCCAAAATCACTTTAAAAAATCACTTCTATAAAGTTGAAGCAATTGCAAACACTCCCTTAATCACTTTTCCCAAAATCACTTTAAAAAATCACTTCTATAAAGTTAAAGCAATTGCAAACACTTCCAAAGAAAGAAATACGATTGGCTGCCTTCAAATAATAAGACCTCTGACCTTCTACCTCGGTGTCCTGCAACTCCTGCCTCACTCAGTCACTCCTCGTGCGGACAGGGAACCTCTCAAATTCAGCAACCAGTCGACGCTGTAGAGAGCAATTTTTGTTGCAGTAAGGACTAACATCTCTGTTTGCGAATCGGATTCTAGCTACATTTGGGACACAATTAGCAGAACTCGAACCTTCAACATTCGGATCTGGATTTTCTTGAGCTGTAGCTCAAATGTACGGTAGCTCAGGCGATGTCGACGGTAACGATCTCTCCGGGTCCCGGAAGATATCTCCCCCGTCGAATATGCCATGGGTCCGTAACCTCCGGCGTTACATCGGAGACGGGACAGGTCTTGGCTCTGAAGCAC